CACCTTCCCAGCCCTCCTTTATAAACTTTTTAACGAGCTGCTCTCCCCACAACTATGGATCTAGTTCACAGGTATAGCAAGTTAAAATAGAAAACACCGGCAGCCTCCACAAATTCTATTGTCCAGAGAAAAGCTTGGTTGAGCTGTTGTAAGTGTACACACACCTGTACACATGATTAGTATATATGTACTCACAATGAACTCACAATGTAATACATGCTATGTATGCATGTACTCATGTTTGTTTATGAAATAGTCATGTATATGTATAAATGTAATTTTTTTCATGGAAACGAGCTGATCCTCTATTTTATTCAGATTAAGCACTAGTTTCCAAGAGGAGCCTGTACAAAATCACATCCTGTGCTCTTCCAGTCTGTCCTTCAACCGCCCCCAACTCCTACCAAAGGTGGCTGCTTATTTTCTAATAGTGACTGAGAGCGCAGACTTTACAAACAGGACTTTCCACCTGAGACATACAAACAAGTGTTGCCCAACAATTTCCCAATGTGCTTTGGAAAAAACAGTTAGTCATTTTGAATAGTGCATTCAAAACCCAGCCACCTGGAAACATCTTTGTATCCTGAAGATTTAAGAAGTTGAGCGTGGGGAGTGAAGGGACACGGGCTTCACGAAGCTAGGTAAATCAACCGGGGGCGACAGTGCCGGGGGGGGGACGCGGCCTGGTGGGGACGCAGCCTGGTGGGGACGCAGCCCGGCATGGTGGGCGTGGGGGCATCGTGGACTCCCGTGGGAATTCCCCAGCACCGCTGACCGTCACTGCTACACACACTGAAGACCAGAGCTAGAAGTGCATCTCACACCCGTCCTACGATCGACTCAGAGTGATGCAAGACCTTGGTGTAAGACCGGGAACTTTGAAACTACTACAGGAAACAGTAGGGAAGAGTCTAGAATGTGTGGACCTAGGCAGGAACTTCCTGAGTGGGACTCCAGTAGCTCAACACGCAGGAGCCCCTCCTGGCAAGAGCGTCTTCGGGGCTGCGTTTTGGAGCTCCCGGTATGCTGGGCGTGAGACCTGTCGGATGGCCTGGTGGGCTCTTCTGATCCACAGGCCCGATGGCAACATCCTGTGTGGCACAGAGGCCTCGCGCCAGCCCTGCGGGAAACCCTCTTGCTCAGGTGCAGAGCCACTGGTGGCCTCTTCAGGAAGTGGCTTCCCATGCCAGTGAGTGCTAGTGTTTTCCCCGTTCTGTCCTGTACAAGGTACAGGTCTTAGATGAAGTCTTACCTTGAGCTTGGTCCAGGGGGAGGGGTCTGCATTGGGTCTTCTGCCGTGGACCTCCAGCTCTTCCGTGCGTTTGTTGACGAGGCTGCTCTTGTGTGTGGAATGACACGGGCAGGTTCTCTGGGGCTGGGCTGGTGTGGCCCCGGATGCTGCCCGCTGGGCCCGTCTGGCCCTGGGCAACAGGACGCTGGTGTTGTCTGTCCCCAAGCCCAGCGTGTTCTTCCCTGTGTGGTCGCTCCCTTCTGCTGGTTTTCTGCCAGTGTGTCTCATGGGTCTTGCCTGGAGGGTCGTGGAGTGGAGACGGAGAGAGGCAATCAAATGCAACAACCACCAAAGCAGGCAGGAGGGCGCAGCGTGGGCGGGGCGGCGGCTCCCCGGGAATAAGGTTCTCTCTCTGCCATTTCTCCTCCTCTTCCTCTTGGCAGTTTCAGGTGGCTAAGTGTGCCTTCTGCCCGTCTATCTGGCATACTTGTTCTGGTGTCTTCTCCTAAGCTGGCCTTTCCCGCCCTCCCTGCAGCAGATCTGAGGCGCGGCGAGTCTTTCGCTTCCTGTGGGTGGAACCGGTCCGTGCGGGGCTTGTGTGAACCCACTCAGCGCAGCTGTTAGAGTTCATATGCAGCTAACAAGGAAAACACATTCATTTGCTCACCTGAGTTCTTTCCTTATTACTACAAACCTTTGATTATAGACTTGCCTTAAAGCAATTTGGATCAGAGCAGAAAGTTTCCTGGTTTGAAAACTGGTCCTATGTATTTGGAGAGCCCAGGGTTGGAAAACAGTGCCCTCTGGTGTGTGGCCACGTACTCATGCTGTCCAGTGTCCTGAGTCTGGGCATGAGGTCAGGCCGGTTTTTTAGCTCCATACCAGCTCTGGGTCCTTCCTGTGAGCATCCAGTAGCATCTCCAGAGCCTTCTCGTGGAGGGCAGCTAAGACGTCACCGATGTCTGGTGCTTAGGAGCCATTTGTATCTAAACCCCAGGTCTGGAGCCCAGGTTCTGGTCCCTGACTGCGGTAATGCAGCAGCCGGCTTTCAGAGTCCAGATGCTGTGTCTCCATCACCCGAGGGGTCTGCAGGTGTGTTCGTTAGACAGGGCGGCCCAGGGCAGAGAGGAGAGGACACCACATCGCAGCCCACCCTCACTTTACAGCTTTGGTTGGGGGGGGGGGCTCACAGGCACTTCTTGAAAACCATCTGCTGCCAGAGTCAAGACAGTGAATAACATCATTGCTCATTCTTAAAATCCTCAACATAGTAAAAGCAGGGGCTCCAAGGAAGAGAGAAAAGGCAGACTTGATCAGGGAAATGATGCTAGAAATGAATGGTTGGCTACAAGAAGAAAGGATGTGACTTGCAAAGACTAAACCCTTCTCCAAAGGGATCTTTCAAAGCTGCCAAGCTCCCAGGGAGGCCCTGGCAGACTGCAGGGACAGAAGCTACTGGAAGCTCTTTCAAGGCTAGCTGCTAAGTCTTGGTGATACAGTTCTGTATGTTTAAACAGCCAAAGCAGAAAGCAAGCACCAGGTTTCTTAACATCAAGATCCAAGGCAACTGTGGGTAACACAGACAGGCCAGAGCTGGAGCCACTCATGCTGACAAAAAGCAAGCAGTAAGCCCCTGTGCCTTGCCCGACCGCAAAGCCAGCTCTGGGTTTTCACGGCCTCTGTTTTTCAGGAGGAAAGTCAGGTTCAGAGAGCGTGTGGCCTGCCTGAGACGGCCAAGGACCGAGATAAAGACGCAGCCCTGTCCGTGGTTACCCCCTCTAAGGCTGGCGCTCGGCCACAAAGCAGAGTCAGCAGCCAGCGTTTCAGGGACATATAAAGCCATTATTTCCATTAAAAAATTACTTTCATAGGAATCCGTTGATCTGTGAGAGCCTCATCCCCGCCGGCGAGGCTGTTCAGATAGCGTGGTCCCCTCTCCCCGCGTATCCAAGCCCGCCCTGTGGGACTGGCTGTGCAGGCGTGTGACCGATGTCACAGAATGCTGGGGTGAGGCACAAACATCCTTGCTTAAAGCAGTCACTGAGTCAGTCACTTCCCAGTTATGGGTGGCGTTTGGGCCTCGCTGCCTCCCCCACCCAACAGCAGCACCTGCACCTGCTTAAACCTTAATTTCAATCAACGGAGTGAGTGAGATGCAGGAACGGAGCCAGGCCGCTACAGCAGCTGTGCTTCAAGAGCTCGGTGGCTATGCGTGCGCAGTGGCTCTGACCTGAGCGCACTGAGCTGTCCCGAGCTGTGTCCGGTCCCGTAAAGGAACTAAGATCCCTGATGATAAGGATGCTGGCATTTGAGTGTAGGACGCTTGAGATGTGGCGAAGCTGCTCCTATCATTTTTAAACGATTGCCTCATTGTAAAATTATATAATGTTTGCAGGACTTTGACTTTGCCCCCAGGTTCTTATCAGCACATTAATGACCCTCTTTCAAAATGGAACTACATCCCTTGAAGTTGACATTGGTGCTTTGTTCCTTAGGACAGAAGAACATTCCACATTCTGCATCTGTGACGGCTTCTCGGGACAGAGAAGGTACTGTCACGTGCACATGCAAATACAATATCTATTATTGGAGGGCCGTACCTGCCTGAGAGTAGCAGGAAACAGTGCGATCACGTACCAGCCCAGCAGAGTCGTAATCTTTCCCTGCAATTGCAGGTGTTAGGGCAGGCCATAAGAAGGTGAGTAAGCCACACAGCCCCGGGCTTCACCAGGTCCGATGACCAGGTTCCTTAGTAAGCGGCCTCCTTCCTGACTAACAAACAGGCTTCTCACTCCAATGAGAGGCTGGAGGCTGGGCGGGCCAGCACAGATGAGGCTCTTCAGATTTCTTAGGCCTCCCCTGGTGTCTTTCAGGGAGCCGCCCGGTGACACCGCCGCCGCCGACTGGCAGCCGGGTCCACATGATGCAGAGCAGCCTGAGGAATGTCCTCGTGATTTCCTTTGGATTCCTCCTCCTCTTCACGGCCTTCGGAGGGCTGCAGAACCTCCAGGTGAGTCGGCCCTGCAGCGCTAACCTCACCTCCACACCCCTCCACGGCCGCCGCGGGCGCGGGCGCACACGCTGTGGCCTGGAGTCGGGCCTCACCTTCTGCCTGGCTCTACTCTGCTCAAGGCTGGCACTCTACTACTGAGCCACGCCTCCATGCCCAGCCTTTTGATGGTGAATTGCAGATAAGAGTCTCAATTTATGGCCTGGGCTGGCTTCTGACGGTGAATCTCAGCTCGGCCTCCGGAGTAGCTAGGATCACAGGCGTGAGCCTCTGGTGTCCCGCTTTAAATAAGATGTCTTTTTAATCCAGCCCACCCTGGCATGTTCTCCCCCCCACCTCCGCGCCTGGCGCAATGGGGTCGCGGTGGAGGGCGTGGCGCTGAGCCTTGACGAGAAGAACAGAGTCCCGGAGAGAGTGGTGCGGGTAGATGGCCTTTGCCTGGGCCGCTGAAGGGAGATACCAGGAAAAGCATTGGGAATTCCAAGCCCCAGATGTCGGCTTTCTGATTTGGGGAGTAATATGAATTTACCAAAGATCTTTAGGTGTCGTGACTCCGCGTTCACTGAAACTGAACTTTGAGGAAATCGCCAACACTTTGAAACTATTTATGGTATTCCTTCTGCTGTGTGTGAACAGCACCAGTTCTGACGGCTGGGGTGTGGGTCCTGTGGACCTGGGTCCTGTGGACCTGGATAGATTCTGCATGTGTTCTTGGGCGAGTCAAACTTACACTCTGATCTTTAACTGGGCAGAGACCTCCAGGGAACGCTGAGGTCTGTCTGGTGGCAGGAAGCAGGCGCTCCTGTCCCTGGGTGCATTTGCTCCCCAGAGTCCCCCAAGGCCTGGCTAGGGACATTCTTAGAGCATCTAGTGACAGGCGAGTGCCATCCTGCCTGGTTGCCTGCTCTGTGCCCGGTGCTGGATCACAGAAACCCACCCAGGGCTGAGAGCCGGGGTCGGGCCTCGTGGAGCCCTTCAAACTCTGAGGACCTGTGGGAGTCCAGCCTCCAGTTCTCAAGTGGGTCATGTCCCTAGTCGGTTCACGGGGAACGGAGGGAGAAGCGGGGACGGGAGCACCGTCCACTGCCCCACGGCCAGTCCTGATGGGGCCCCCGCGGCCGTTCGTAATGGGGCCCCCACGGCCGTTCGTAATGGGGTCCCCGCGGCTGTTCGTAATGGGGTCCCCGCAGCCGTTCGTAATGGGGCCCCCACGGCCGTTCGTAATGGGGTCCCCGCGGCTGTTCGTAATGGGGTCCCCGCGGCCGTTCGTAATGGGGTCCCCGCGGCCAGTCCTGATGGGGTCCTGGCCTCCTCCAGAACCCTGTGATGTCTCTCAGGGTTTCGGCCTGCGTGGACACTCGCTTCGCAGGGTGCTCTGTGGGGACTTTCTGTGTGAAGCGAAGGCGGCGGTGGCCTTGCTGGCTTTTTTGATTGTGGCCGCCAGGCGCCACCCGCTGCTCTCCTTGGCTGTCTGTCATGTCTCGGGCCTGGGACGGGCCGTTGGGTGGAAGCAGCGGCCCCAGGGTGGTGTGTGCGCTGCCGTACAGCCCTGCCCCAAGCCTCCCACTCAGCACTGAGACAGAGAGAGACCCAGAACCCCTCGGGCCTGGGCGTGTGGGCTTCCCCATCCATACTCAGGCAAGGGTGCTTCATCCCGGCCCACTGTGCTCATGGGTGGTCTGGGACCTCAGCCCTGAGGCCAGGCTGCCCCTCACCCCTGCATTCCAGACCCCAGACCAGGCTGCCCCTCACCCCTGCACCCAGCCCTGAGACCGGGCTGCCCCTCACCCCTGCACCCAGCCCTGAGACCGGGCTGCCCCTCACCCCTGTACCCCAACCCTGAGGCTGGGCTGCCCCTCTCCCCTGCATTCCAGACCCCAGACCAGGCTGCCCCTCACCCCTGCACCCAGCCCTGAGACCGGGCTGCCCCTCACCCCTGCACCCCAACCCTGAGGCTGGGCTGCCCCTCTCCCCTGCATTCCAGACCCCAGACCAGGCTGCCCCTCACCCCTGCACCCCAGCCCCGAGGCTGGGCCGCCCCTCACCTCTGCACCCAGCCCTGAGACCGGGCTACCCCTCACCCCTGCACCCAGCCCCGAGGCTGGGCCGCCCCTCACCCCTGCACCCAGCCCTGAGGCCGGACTGCCCCTCACCCCTGCACCCAGCCCTGAGACCGGGCTACCCCTCACCCCTGCACCCAGCCCCGAGGCTGGGCCGCCCCTCACCCCTGCACCCAGCCCTGAGACCGGGCTGCCCCTCACCCCTGCACCCAGCCCCGTCCAGCCCAGGCGCTGCCGCTGACGGGCCGCTCTTGTTTCCACAGAGCAGTCTCTACAACGAGGATGGCCTGGGCGTGGCCACGCTCAGCTCCCTCTACGGGGCGGTGCTCCTCTCCTCCATGCTCCTCCCCCCCATCCTCATCAAGAGGTGCGGCTGCAAGTGGACCATCGTGGGCTCCATGTGCTGCTACGTGGCTTTCTCCCTGGGCAACTTCCAGGCGAGCTGGTAGGGCCCGCGCCGGCCCAGCGCTTGCACTGGGCTGTGCGCCCCGCATGGGCTGCTTCGGCACAAGGCTTTGTGCTAGCTTTCCTGGGCCCCCTCCCCCACCCGCCCCCAACTCCTCACCTTCCCCAGCTCCGCAGCCCCCAGGGGCTCCCGGGCCCTCGGACAGGAGCGGTCTGGCCTGGGTGTGGATCGCGTGTCTGGGTCTGTGCGGCGAGCGGACCCTGCCCTTGCCCGCCGCCCGTTGCAGGTTCTCACTGATCCCCACGTCCGTGCTGCTGGGGCTGGGCGCCGCCCCGCTGTGGTCGGCCCAGTGCACCTACCTCACCGTCGCGGGGAGCCGGCACGCGGAGAGGACCGGCCAGCTCGGCAGGGACGTGGTCAACCAGTACTTCGGCATCTTCTTCCTCATATTCCAGTCCTCTGGCGTGTGGGGCAACCTGATCTCCTCGCTCGTGTTTGGCCAGACGCCCACGAAAGGTACTGGGCGGGGGGAGGGGGTGCGTGGGGTTTCTCGGCCACCGCCGAGCCCAGGGACACGCCCGCTTGGCTCCACCGAGGAGGCACCAGTGCGCCCACGGGGAGGGGGCCAGGGGGGCCCTGCTCCAGGCACTGAAGAGCTGTCCCCTTCCCGGGGGGCAAGCCCTTGGAGGGGCCACCACGGAGACACCAAGGGGGCCCCCGTGAGTGGAATCTGCGTCTGTAGAACCTTTGCTGTCCTGAGGACAACTTCTCTGTGTTATCTCCTTATGGGGTCATTAGAGCCTGCCCCGAGCCCACCCAGACAGGACGGGACACGGAAGCCATGTCCTGCCCGCACACTTTGATGCCCGCTTGGAGGCGTAAAGCCAAGTCCACAGGAAAGCAAGCTCCCTGCTGCTAGTGGAGGCCTGGCCCCACCACTGCCGGACTCTGCCCCTCCACTCTGCCCCTCCCAGCCCAAGGGTGCATGGGTCCTGCACGATGCTCTTGCTTACTAAATACACCCTTTCAAGGAAGCCACGGGGGAAATGTTGCAGACTTCTTCCTGACTGACCGGTGTTCCTGGGCTGTAATCTGCAGGCCACCCCCCACCCCCCCACTCCTGCTGAGTCACAGCCCGAAGGACGGTGGCCAGTAGTGTGAGGGCCCAGCTGGGCGGCTCACGGCCTTGGGCCTCTGTTCCCACTGCTCCTCTGCCCTTCCCAGCTCCTTTCCAGCCTACAAGGTCTGTGAGGTTTTTATTACAAGATGGGTATTATGAAGAGCATCACACGATTCATAGTCTTTCTCTCCTGGCATCTTTCTTTTCTCTCGGGAGATTCAGACGTCATCCTGATTTGCAGGTGTTGGTAGTTTGTTGATAGGCTGTTGGTTGGTTGGTTGGTGGTTTATTTTATATTTGTGCCGGGGTCAAATCCTAGGCAAATACTCTTCACTCAGCCGTATTTCACCTGCCCTGTCTCCAACTGTATTCCTTCACTCTCTGAAACAGAAAAGAGAGGTACCCTGCCTGTCCAGGCAGTGGGGATAGGGAAGAGGAATTTGAAAGTGGTCGTCAGCAGAGGGTGCCTTTCTTTTCCACTGACTGAGTTTGAATGTGTTCATTGATGCGGAGGAAGCAATGCTCTCAGAGAGAAGAATGCCATCCTGTGAGCTCTTTCTCCGCATCTTTGCAGAGCACTGAGTTAATTCTCTTCCCAAACAAACCATGCTAACCTCAGGCCGTGGACTTGAGCCCAAGGGTTGTGTGTCTGAGATCCTCGGTAGAACACCGGCTCATCTTGGCCTTGGCCTCCAGCTCCACCTTACCTCCCACAGTCCCGTCCTGGGCAGCCGCTGCGGCCCAGCCTGACCGTCTGCTCTGACTCCACAGAGTCCATCCTGGAGAAGCAGCTGGAGTCCTGCGGGGCCCGGGACTGCCTGATGGTGGCAGCCTCCAGCAACAGCACGCAGGGCCCCTCTAGGCAGCTGATCTACACGCTGTTGAGCATCTACACGGGTACGTGCCCTGGGCCCCAGGCCCCAGAGCCAGCCTCCTGCGACCCCCTCCGTCTCAGAGCCCCGGCTGGCATGGAGGGCCGGGTCATCTTCGGAGCAGGGGATGAGGGCGCCATGGGGTGCCGCTATTTCACCCCTCGGAGTCCGGGGTGGAATCCATTCGCCACAAGCACCTGTTTACATGTTAGCAAGCAAGTTAAACCGCGGCATTGCGGAGACGGACACGGGGAGCGGCTTCGTGGACTCGGCCCCTTCGGCCCCCTGTGGGGCTCTGAGAGCAGCCTTGGCCACAGGAGGCACAGGCCGCGGGTCAGCACAGGCCGCGGGGGCCGCGAGCTGGGTTTCGAGTAGAAGCCTGCGAGTCCCAAGCCAATCTGTTTTTCCCTTAAAATTATTTAGGGGAGGAACACAAAGAGCAACGCCTCTGTGCCTGATCAGATAAAATAATATTTTTCTAAATGAACTCCAAGAAATGGAAACCAAAGCTTTTCTTCTTTGTTTTTTGTTTTATTTTGTTTTGTTTTTTGTTGGTCGTGGGATCTGAACTCTGGGCCTGGGCGCTGTCCCTCAGCTCTTCAGCTCAAGGCTAGCTCTCTACCACTTGAGCCACAGCGCCACTTCCGGCTTTTTTCTTTTTGCTTATGTGGTGCTGAGGAATCGAACCCAGGGCCTCCTGCATGCAAGGCAAGCGCTCTACCACTGAGCCACCTTCCCAGCCCCTTTGTTGTTATTTTTGTTTTCTTTCCTTTTTGTCTTGTTTGTTTATCTACAACACAGAAATAGAAAGACAAAGCAGCAGTGGTATTCACTAGACAGTATGTTGAAAAGGAACTATACAATTTGTGGGTGAGGATGGGGGGGACTGGGAAACAGTGAGGGAAGGGGTGACGTCCGAAAAGAAATGCATTCATGCCTGCGCCGCTGTGCACCTGCACCTTCACAATAACAAGGTAGTGTTTTTAAAGAGAACATTTATGAACTAAAGCATATGTCTGAGAGTGAAGTAACTGTCCATTTTAAAGGAAAGGGTGTGTGTAGACTATTGAAAGATCTGCCTTTTTCATTGAGGTTTTATCCTACAGATATTATATCAGCATATACTATTGCTAAATCCTCCATTTTCTAAGGAAATTAAAAATCAGGTTTTGTAGTATAAAACATTTTTCAGCTAAAAACGATCTCTCTGCCAGTGTTAAGCTTGTATCATCACAACTCAGTCGTGATTCTAGAGAAAAAGAATGGCGTCACCTGCTCAGGAAGCACATGACTGATGCAGCTACTGTCCAGCCATGCTAATGGCTACTGTGTTAACTTAGCCAAGACCACGAGAGAGAGGACCACATGTTAGACTCGAAAAATGGAGGGGATTATGCACCGCTCTTCTGCTCCTTCAAACAGGACAGCTCTGTCTTTGATCAGACACGGGCCCAGGCGAGGGCACCGTGACACTTGGGATGCCAGCTGTGGGTGGGCAGGAGGAAGGGTAGGGCCCAGCAAAGTGCCCTGACCTGCAGACCCGATGTCTTCCGCCTGTTGTTGCTTTCAGTCAGTGGCGTGCTGGCGATCCTGCTCATCGCCGTATTCCTGGAACCCCTGGAAGACTTTGAGCCGAACGGAAAAGGAAAGGACGGAAAGCCACCTCCCTTTTGGACCACCCTGCTGTCCACCTTCCGGCTGCTGGGAGACGGACGTCTGCGCCTCCTGATCCTGCTGCCGCTGTACAGCGGCTTGCAGCAAGGATTCATCTCTGGTGAATACACAAGGGTAGGAGAGAATCAGAGCCGCGGCTCACAGGCGCATGGCGCACCACGCCCTCACCAGCCTGCGCCACAGGGACCCGCCTCGGGGCCTGGCTGGACCCGACCCCACGGTGGTTCAGGCTCTGCAATCACCCCAGCCCCCACTCCTGAAGGGGAAAGCTCCTGCCCGCCAGGGTCTCCCCGGGCAAGGCCCGCTGGATAGCCAGAGGCCGCCCCCCTGTAACGCGGCCCCCCGCCCCCCCCGGTCTTGTGCTGCCGCCCTTTTGGTGTGGGCTGGCAGCACAGCAAGCACGGTCATCTCTATGACCGTTGCCAGCGGCAGGGACAATCAGAGCCCCAGGGTTGCCCTCCACCCGGGGGTGTCAGTCTGTCTTTCCTTGCCTGCTGGGGTGGCCTCTCATCCCTCTTATCCTGACGACCTCTGTGCCTACCCAGATCCTGGAATCCACCCCCAGGTGACAGCCACCACCTCCGTCCAGTGCACCTGGGCCTGGCTCCACTCCGGGAGCCAGCTGTGTCCCCAGCCGTGCCCCCAGTGCTGTCCTTGGCACTTTCCTCCACTACCAAGGAGGCTGGCTGCCTGCCCCGCCCCGTCCCGCCCCACCCCGCCCTGCCCTCAGCACCACAGTCACTCTGCACCACAAGCACAGCACCTTCACTGAACTCTGGGCACATGGCAAATACCGTTAGAACAAGTGTGACCCAGCCATGTCTGGTGTCCGGTTTGATCTGCAGCCCTGTTCTTAGGAACAAGGGCAGACAGGATGAGGGGAAGCCTGCCTTGCATTGTGGATGTGTCCCTCCCACCAGACTTCGGGATGCCAGCCACCTCTCTGTCCCTCGCCTCCTCCCCTCCCACCATCCTGCCCCACCCCAGCCCCGCCCTGTCCCACCGTCCCTCCTCCCCGCCCTCTTCAGGCACAGCTAGCCTGGCCCAGCCACGGGACAGGTGGTGCTGGTGCTGCGCTGGGTCACATCTCAGCCTTCGGTGAAGGCCTCTTCATCTTGGTCCATGTTCCTTCAATTATGTAGAGGCCTAACAAGAAGTGTGGAGCAGTGGGACACGGGGAAAGCGTGGGGAAGAGGTTGGTGTGGGTGTTTGTCCCAACAATCTCCTCTCCGTTCTGACTCAGAGAGGAGTCTGCAACATCAGCAGTGCTTATGCGGCAGCCCGGGGCTAGAGGAGGCTCCTTGTGTGCCAGCCGGCATGCGCCGTGTGTCAGCCGGCATGCCCTGTGTATGAGCTGGCATGGCCCATGTGTGAACCAGTATGCCCCATGTGTGAGCCGGTGTGCCCTGTGTGTGAGCTGATGTGCCCTGTGTGTGAGCTGGCGTGCCCTGTGTGTGAGCCGGCATGCCCTGTGTGTGAGCTGGCGTGCCCTGTGTGTGAGCTGGCGTGCCCTGTGTGTGAGCCGGCGTGCCCTGTGTGTGAGCTGGCGTGCCCTGTGTGTGAGCCGGCATGCCCTGTGTGTGAGCTGATGTGCCCTGTGTGTGAGCTGGTGTGCCCTGTGTGTGAGCTGATGTGCCCTGTGTGTGAGCTGGCATTCCCTGTGTGTGAGCTGATGTGCCCTGTGTGTGAGCCGGCGTGCCCCATGTGTGAACCAGTATGCCCCGTGTGTGAGCTGATGTGCCCTGTGTGTGAGCCGGCGTGCCCTGTGTGTGAGCTGGCGTGCCCTGTGTGTGAGCCGGCGTGCCCTGTGTGTGAGCCGGCGTGCCCTGTGTGTAGCGTGGGCAGCTTCTCCAGATGCTAGCAGCAGCTCGGGCCGGAGCTGCAGGGAGCGCGCGGGCCCCGTGATGCCGCTCTGCCTTTGTCCCCAGTCCTACACCACCTGTGTCCTGGGCATCCACTTCGTGGGCTACGTGATGATCTGTTTCTCCGGGGCCACCTCCCTGTGCTCGCTGCTATACGGGAAGCTCTCGCAGTACTCCGGCCGGGCCGCCATCTACGTGCTGGGTGGGTGCCCACAGCCTCTGCCCAAGCAGCCTCCGCCCAAGCAGCCTCCACCTAAGCAGCCTCCACCCAAGCAGCCTCCGCCCAAGCAGCCTCCACCCAAGCAGCCTCCACCCAAGCAGCCTCCACCTAAGCAGCCTCCACCCAAGCAGCCTCCACCTAAGCAGCCTCCACCCAAGCAGCCTCCACCCAAGCAGCCCGGCACACCTGCAGCACATGCGGGGCGGAGGGGGGGGCAGAGTCTGTGGCTGCCAGACTGGTGACTGGACTGCCTGCCTCCCTCCCTCCCTCCTTCCTCCCTCCCTACCTCCTCCCTCCCTCCCTCCCTTCCTGTTCCTTCCCTTCCCCTTCCTCCTACCTCCTTCCCTCCCTCCCTCCCCCATCCCCTCCTCTCACCCTGCCAGGAGGCCTGGCTCTCACATGGGAGGACCTGGTCCCTTCCAACACTCGCCCCAAGGAGGAAGCATTTCCACCTTGCTCTGGGCCTTGTGGCGGAGAGACTCACAGGCCCAGACTGCACCCTGGGGCCCGACACTGGGGAGCAGGGAGCACAGAGCCACCCGGGGAGCAGGAGCACAGAGCAGCCAGGGAGCAGGAGCACAGAGCAGCCAGGGAGCAGGAGCACAGAGCAGCCAGGGAGCAGGAGCACGGAGCAGCCAGGGAGCAGGAGCACGGAGCAGCCAGGGAGCAGGAGCACGGAGCAGCCAGGGAGCAGGAGCACGGAGCAGCCAGGGAGCAGAAGCACAGAGCAGCCAGGGCAGCCAGGAAGCAGGAGCATGGAGCAGCCAGGGAGCAGGAGCACGAAGCAGACAGGGAGCAGGAGCACAGAGCAGCCAGGGAGCAGGAGCACGGAGCAGCCAGGGAGCAGGAACACGGAGCAGCCAGGGAGCAGAAGCACAGAGCAGCCAGGGCAGCCAGGGAGCAGGAGCACGGAGCGGCCAGGGAGCAGGAGCAAGGAGCAGCCAGGGAGCAGGAGCACGGAGCAGCCAGGGAGCAGGAGCACGGAGCAGCCAGGGAGCAGAAGCACAGAGCAGCCAGGGCAGCCAGGGAGCAGGAGCACGGAGCAGCCAGGGAGCAGGAGCACGGAGCGGCCAGGGAACAGGAGCACGGAGCAGCCAGGGAACAGGAGCACGGAGCAGCCAGGGAGCAGGAGCACGGAGCAGCCAGGGAACAGGAGCACGGAGCAGCCAGGGAACAGGAGCACGGAGCAGCCAGGGAACAGGAGCACGGAGCAGCCAGGGAGCAGGAGCACGGAGCGGCCAGGGAACAGGAGCATGGAGCGGCCAGGGAGCAGGAGCACAGAGCAGCCAGGGAGCAGGAGCACGGAGCAGCCAGGGCAGCCAGGGATCAGGAGCACAGAGCAGCCAGGGCAGCCAGGGAGCAGGAGCACGGAGCAGCCAGGGCAGCCAGGGAGCAGGGGGCAGTGTGGTGTGGTCTCCTTCCCTCCACCCACAGGTCAGGACCCTCAGCCACCTGGCTCACCCTCCTCCAGTCACCCAGGCAATGCCAGGGCGCAGAGCCATTCCCCTCAGCCAGGCTGGCTTCGGGCCTGGCCGGCCCAGGCCGCGCGGCCCCGGCTGCTCACCGTCCCATGGTTCCCGTGCCCAGGCGCAGCCACCCACCTGTCCTGCATCATCATGCTCCTGCTGTGGCGCCCACGGCCAACCCAGATGAGCGTCTTCTTCCTCCTCCCCGGCCTGTGGGGCCTGGCGGACGCCGTCTGGCAGACACAGAACAATGGTGAGCATCGGCCGTGCCTCCCTGCCCTCTGTCCATGCCCGGTCAGGTCAGACGTCACCACCAGCCATCGCTGGCTCCGCCGCTGGGCTAGGACCAGTCCAGCTCTGTTGGAGGCCAAGTGCATTGCCAGAGACTGTGAGAGAGGCTGCAGGAGCCTGGGCTGCACCAGGGCCGCGGGAGCCTGGGCTGCACCGGGGCTGCAGGAGCCTGGGCTGCACCGGGGCTGCAGGAGCCTGGGCTGCACCGGGGCTGCAGGAGCCTGGGCTGCACCCCGGAGCCGCGGGAGCCTGGGCTGCACCGGGGC